TTGGGCCCCCCCAAGCTGAACCCAGCCTCGGCTCTGGGCAGCTGCTGCCAGCTGGGAGCCGGGGCTGCTCACAGCAGGCAGCCGGGACACTGCAAGTCCTGCTGGGAGCAGCCCAGGCTCCATTGCTAGCAGCAGCTACCCAGAGCTAGGGCTGGCCATGGTGTGCCAAGCAAAATGGCCTCACGGGCCATGCTTGGCACGCGTGTCAGGGGTTACCAACTCCTGACCTAGGGAAAAACCTTGCAGTTGTACTGGGAAAGCTACCAGCAGGTGGAAGGCTCCTGATTATCCCACAGGACTGCAAATGCACTCCCAGGAGCATCTACGTCTCAGCACCATCCCCATCAGTGTTACCCACTCCTAACCTGGTGCTTCTGCAGCTCCTGAACGTATCTGGCCAGCTCCTCCTCAGTCAGGTCTTCATGGCGCTGCTGCCCCCGAGGAGACACTTTCCCATTCTTTCCTACAAACCCAAGAGCAGAAAATCAGGATAGGCTCAACCTGGCTGAGACCACAGTGAACTTTACACTTGCTGGGGCTTTTTCTAGAGAAATAAAAGGTGCCCTGACCTATAAGGCAAAAGGGTAGTGTCTGCCCTACTTTCTGAGGTGTACATCCACACAATTCTTCCAATACAAAATTAATAAAAAATTAAATGTATAAGGGATGAATTAAATTCTGCCTATTTCCCCAACTTATTTGGCTGGGTAAATAATGTTTTTGTAGATAAGAGCAGACACCATGCAGTCCACTAAAGTGGAAAATGTGCTTCCTCTGGCATTTCTCAGGCCAGTGATAAGGCAATAATTGATGCTGAATGAAAGCAGGAATTCTGCTTAAGAGATGCATCTAGCTGATGTAATGCTGTTCAGATATGTTTACTCCTTTAACAAGAGCCTCCAATCATAGCTAAGATGGGAGCAGAAGCAAAAAGAACTGCTGCCTCACTGCATGCTTCCCTGAACCTTAAAAGCACTTGGTTGCCACATGATCTCATAGCTGCATCTACTGATCCAGGCAGCCAATCTTCCAGCCACCCTGGGCCTATCTGATAAGATAGTAGTGTCTACAGCATCCTGGGTGAAACAGCGTCCCCTCTGAATTAAGGGACAAAAACTAACAGCTGCTTAATTCAGAGGCCTCCATTCTGTATTACCAAAGAAATGTTGCAAATCATTTGATAATAATAAAAATACTTTTCTCTGTTTTACTGTCCCTGTATCTGGTCAGGGGGCTGGTATCTCCTTGTGGATCAGAGCTGACAGTTTGCAGAAGGAGATGGCAATCTCTGAAAAAGGAAAGGGGCTATATTCAGGTAAAGACCTTAGTTACTAAGGAAGGGGGCAAGAAGAATGCAGAGTAGAACTGGGAGGGCAAACCCAGCTGGTTGTAAAGAGGAGAAAGCATCTTTCAGAGTTTTACACAGAGGATCCATTGTCTTCTCCCTCTAAGAGAAGGCTGTCCTCCAGATGGGAAGCCTGCAACGAACAATTCTTTAGGACTTAATTTGTGGCACTGCTGTCCAAGCTGGATTCTGATTCAGGGGGAACACCCCAAGGGACAAAAGAGGGATGGCCAACCATGCTTCACACCAACATGTTATCTTCCTTCTCTACAGCTTTTATTCCCAGGATGTCATGATCGGGTCCTAGCATAAAGGATCTCATCACTCCTATCAGGATCACAGTTCTAATTTCACAGGAGCTGGAGACAGAAAGGGCAAGTAGCTCTCTCAGTGTGTCCCAGGAAGATCTGAGAACAAAAATCAGAGATACAGGTGCCCACTGCTACCCAAACAGCTAGAGATCACAACCTTCCTTTATCTGAGTGCAGCCCTTCTCATCTCCCCAGCCTGGAGCAGGTCATACTTACCATCACAGGTCATGGCAGTGCACACCCAATTGCCACAGGCACAAACGCAGCTGTTACACTCCACTTGGGTCTCTGCTCCATCCTCATAGGTTTCATCTTCAAGGGCGCATTCTGGAAGAGGCACAGGTGAAAGGGCATGGGGTGTGATGGATGAGGCAGATACCAGAACTGAAATTCTGGAAGCCCCTTTGTACAAAGAGGAGCAAAAACTTTTCTGATGATTAACTATGATTATTCCCCACAGTGAAACAATCCAAGCACTTCTTAAATTATTCTTTATTTTGCCCACAAAAAAACCTCAGGGTTTTCCTAGCGTTTTTATTTGGGTAGTGAACTAGAGGACCAACTCTCCTGCCTGGGAAGTTCAGTCCTGTTTTGTGCAGAAAAGGATGGCAGATAATATCAGTGTGACCGTCGAACATCCCACTAAAAGGGACAGCACAGAGTTCCAGCAGATGGCTCTCCAGAAGTACAGCCTTATGGACCTCTGCCACTGCCACTAAAACCGTCCCAGCCTCGGACTTGAATCTGGTACCACCTGAGTGATGGAGAGAGCACTGCCGAATGAGAAAATTCAATCAGCCACTGTAGAATGTTTAATCATTAGAACGCTGAGCAGTTTCCAGGAACACTGCAAGTCTAAGCTGGGTCCAAAAGCTTATGGGATGTGTGTCAGGGAGGGTGTCTGGTAACTGAAAGGCAGAACAGGGCTTGACTTTGGTCTCATCTGATCCTCCAAAATGATGTATAAAACACACTCCTCCTCATTCACTGCTGAACAGTTGCCTTGATCTCCCAGACAAATGTTCCTCCCTGATTTTGAAACTTATCTCCCATTCTCCATAATGGTAGGGGGTGCTGCAGGCAGTTAGGACTATAGTGCCAGAGAGGGAGAGGGCACCAAGACTGGAATAGCAGGGGATTCTGTACATGAGGAGAAAGGGGCATTGGCAGAGCTGTGTGGGAAGCTGGTGGGTGAACTAGTAGGGGGAGCTGCAGGGCCATGAGTGAGGTGTACTGGCTGAGTAGAAGTAGCAAAGCTCATAGGTGCCAGTCCCCTGTGCCCAACTCAAAGCCAACCTCTCCCCTCCTCCCTTCCTGTTGCCTGTCTGCCCCTGGTGCAAAGGGAAAGCCCGTACTTTTCTCCGGCGGGTTGAAGGATGGGCTGAGGCACTTGAGGAACTCATTGAAGCTGAGTTTCCAGTCGGCATTTTCATCAGACAGCTCAATGAGGGCATCCACACAGAGTCCCCTGAATGGAAACAAACACACACAATCTGCTTGGGGCTCAGCATCCCACCCCTGCGGGGGGGTTCCTGGTCCTCCTGAACACTCAGTGCTGGGACTTCAGGCCAGGCCTGCAAAACGCCTATTTTAAGAGATGCCAGAAGGTGCAGACAAGGGGAAATGAGCTCAGGCTGCTCTCTTGCTGGTAAATGGCAAGAAGAAAGACATCTCCAGCTCAGCCTCACCCATGCTACTTTAATATCAGATTCACTGCAGGGCTGAGGAGTGTTTGAGACCTCCTGTGGCTGTTTCAGGGCCCCATGTTGCTGGCATAGGCTCTTGCCACTGTGACAAAGCTACAGGCTGCCTCACTTGGATTGCAGACAGACAGAACTTTTACCCTACTTTAAAGGGGGAGGATTTGCCACCATAAAGCCAAATCTGGAATAACTGATCCCCTGTCTGCTCTTAAACTATAGAAAGTGAAGCTGAGCTGCCATCATTTTCTCATTTCATTCAGGGATTAATTGTTCTCATTGCATTCATGTGGTTTAGTTTCACTAACTGAAGGTTAGGAGTGGACAGATGAAACGCACTGGATCAGCTCACATGAGCTCTTGACTGTTAAGTGCAACTTCCCCCTGCCTCCCAACTTTAAAGCATTGTAAATGTATGTCTGTTCATGCTCCTACTCTCCGAGCCACATGCACACTTGCATGCTCCCACACCACAGGCTCCTGTACCTAGAGGAACATACCAGCAAACACAGATTCCCATCATCACATAAGTGCATCCCCAGAGTAATGCTACCCCTGCAGTCAGTTGCAGGACTCCCTTTGGGTGTGAGGCACACTGAGGACATTATTCAGTGCTGAGTTACCAAGGTCCTCAGTGTCCCAGTGCGGAAAGCCCTTGTGTCCCTGGGACATCAGTGTGTACCTGCCCTTCTCTGACAGCCATTATGCTTCTTACCGAGCACATACCAAAACACAGAAAGCCCAACCTGCTTGGACTGCATGTTCCAAAACCAGTCAGAGATACCAGAAAATGGCAGCTCCCAAGGAGCCTCAGACGTGGAAGAGTTCTGTGCACAGCACACAGGCTGGTTTATTTACAGCCCGCCCCCCGCAACCACCCTTGGATGAAAGGCTCTTTCCTTGGGCTGCAGATAAATGGTACAGGAGAAACAGAAAGGATTTGTTTAGTTTCTCTTGCCATGTAGAAGAATGCTTCCCTGGGGTGTTTGATGGGCTACAAGCAGTCAGCTCCCCCATCACACCTGTTTTTACCTCATTGCCCCAGCCCACCTGAGTAGCTTGTTGGTCTCCTGGTCCATGTACGTGGTGATGTTGATGGCTGTTTCATTCTGCTCCACAAACTTCAGGAACTCACTGGAGTCCAGGCGAGAGTCACCATCATCAAAACTCTGCGGGGACACAAGAAAGCATATGAAAGAGGCTAAGGCATTTCCCATTCCTGGCCCTTTCCTGAAGTGCCATGTGCTTGTACTTAGCACCACATGGCACTTCGCATTTTCAAAGCCTCCACTATGCTGGAAGGCAACAGAGGCTTAGGGAGCTTATTCAGTGCCTGGGGCTGGGAGAGGGGTGGTACGCCAACAGCTGTAGAGCTGGGGCGGTGTAGTGGGCTTGATTTATGGCCGTAGCAAGACAGTATCACTTCCTCCTTTGGTTCTAATTGGACTCTGTGAACTTTCTGACCTGTCCTAGCTGGTGCTCTGTTGCAGCTCATGCTGCCTTTCAGACAGGTATAACACCAAAATCTTGTCTAATGCCAGTGATCTAGAAAAACAATCACAGGAAGAGTTGCTGTCTGCTGACACTGAACGGGGGACTTTTTTTGACTAGGGAAATGCATGCTGTGCCTTAGGGTGCTTTGTCAGCCTCTGCTTCATGTTAGAGATTCTGTCAAGTACCTTCCCCAACACATTAGTGTCAGTCTTCTTTCAAGTGACTGGAAAAAACAGAATGCCTCTTGGCCTAGCCACTTCTGGCAGCTAAGGAATCCCTGGCTCTAAAATGGACAGTTTTTAGCCCCAATATTCTGGTTGAATTCCAGCAAGAATAATTACACTCCTGCCTTCCTAAATTCCTTCTGCACTTTCATCTTCATGCAAAGCTCTCTTTCATTTCCTGCCCCAAACCGATACACTCCTCAGTAGCAGCTGTGTCCTGCCTCAGAGGTGGATGTACTGTACTGATGAGAAAACTGTATCCCATTCCTAGAGTCCTACAATAGATGATGGAGGATTTTAGCTGGAGGGCAAGTCACTTCTTCTCCTTGTTCCATTTTTGTGCTCAGAGGCTGCAGACTGCTCTGGAAAGTGCTAGGGCAGGGAAAGCCCTTATTCTCACTGAAAACAGTACATAACCCTCACATGTTGCCCCAGCATTTCCAACAAGGGGCTAGTGTTCTCTGCAGATCCAGGTTAAGTGAAGACTGTCTTTTCTGCCAATGACAGCTTTGTCCTGTGCTGGAGGACTCTGGTAAAAAGGTACTGTTTCCTAACTCTCGAACAAGAGACATAACTGCCTTTGAGACAAGGCCCTTGAAGATGTAGGCCTTGCTGGTTTGTGACCATGCTCAAAGTGTACCAGTGAGCTGCACAAAGCT